TGTCTCGGGTGACTTTGTTCCTAAGATTCCAAGGAGCCCGGTCAATATGGACCCCTTCTGGGGCCCGAATCTCTACCTAGGTCTGACTATACCCCTGGAAGAGCTGGTGACGGCCCACAGGCTGTGCTTCCTGGTCCCTCAGAGGGTTGCCTTTCCCTGAAAATTCCTCCCCACCCTCTGCTGAGGCCTGAGATCCCTTTCTCAGAGGAGAGAATAATCACTTGGGTGAGTCACCACCTCCCTGGGCCTCCGTTGCTTCATCTGTAAAATAAAAAGCTTGGTCCTAGTGACCTCTAACACCCCTTGCATGTTTAAGTCTGTGATCTTGTCATCTTTTGTTCATAGAGAAGTATTATTCCCATTGCACAGATAAGGAAACAGGCTTGGTGAGTTGGAATGATTTGCCCAAGGTTGTAAGGCTGGCCAGTTTGAGACCCGGGACTCTGGACTCCAAGCCTGGTCTCTTTCCCCCCAAGATGCTGCCTGTTCAGCTCTCAGCTCAGGCTACATTCTGAAGCAAGGAAGATACATTTTCTCCCTAGAGGCAACGAATCTACTGTTTCCTCCTTGGTCAGAATCTTCCTCTGCCCAGTCAGCCCTTCTGCCTTTAAAGGCACAGGCAGTCACTCTGGTGACCCTGGCCCTGCTTCAGGAGCCTTGGAATAACAAATGTCTTGTGAACCCTCATCAATCTGCCTGGCAACCAATAAGTCTACTGAGGACTCTTGTCCTCTCCCTATCTCCTTTCTTATCCTCAGCTTTGTGTCAGGCCTTGTGGGAAAGACAGGAGGAGGGGGGGGCCCAACTCCCACCGTCTGGGAGTTCTCAGTCTGGTTGGGGGACGTGACCAGGCCTTGGAACATAATGAGGACAATTGGAGAGCAGAAGGATCATGTGTGAGTCTGGTATTTATGCAGGCTCACAAAAGGTGGGAGAAGTCAGGAGAGGCTCCCTAGAGGAAGTGGGACAGAGAAGGGGGAAAATCTGGGCCAAAGCAGCCTCCTGGATCATTAGTAACTTGAATCCTTGAAGTGGGCCCCAGGACCAGTGCCATCTCCCCAGTGGCCTCTAGTGATGGTACACCCCAGCCCTGAGACTCTCCAGGATACAATCCTCCCACTCTTATTTCTTAATTAATTCAATCAAACTGGGGTTTGGAACTTGGAAGATCAGAGACCATTCTGCCCTATGTGGGGGGCACAAGGAGCCAGGGTCACACAGTAGTTTAGGGGAATGATTGAAGTGGAGACCTAGAACTGGGGGGCAGTGGTTCAGCCAGGGATGGAGGGGCAACAGTGTCTGGGTGCCGCAGGTGACCCTGAAAAACAGCTCCTCTTTGCTCCAGTGGGAGGGTGGTAGAGCCTTTGACTGCATCCTTAACAGAAGCTCTCTTGTTCCCTCACTTAACAGCATCCACAACCCCCTCCCATCCTACCTCTCCCCTTACAGAGGGAAAGCCTGTCTTCTCCAGGCTTGAGGAAGTCATATCTTTTGTGATGTCTCCCTCCTTCCCCCCTCCATAACTGTTCCCCCATAGTCCATATGTTGTGGGGGAGGGGAGAGGACTTGGGGGAGCATCTGTGGGCAGGCTGGCACCGGCTGCCATCTCTCTGCTTGGCATTCGTGCTGTGGGTACCGTCTGGGCCGACGGGCCGTCTCCAGGGAGGCTTTGGATAGGAGGGGAGAAGGCTGACAGGCCTTCTGGCTGGCTGATGGGAGTCCCAGAGATGGGGATGAATGCTTATGTGGTCTCTGTGTGTGTTGTAGACATTCCTGGCCTTGGAGGTGGCCCAGTGCTGAACACTGTGATTGGAAGCCGCCAGAGGTCAGGCTGAGTGACTTTCTTTGTGCTGCATGGTGCCCAGCACCCAGAGAGCAGGTTAGGCAGTTTTCCTTACTTTGGAGGATTCCAAGAACAGCTCTTAGGACTAATTAACCTTCCTAGATAATACTGAAGATATAGGTGGTTATCAGGCTAATCTTAAAAAACAAGACAACAACAAAAGTATTTCCTGACTGCTCTTTCAAGGCACTGATCTCGTATGTTGTTCCTCCCCTCCCCTCTCCCTAAAGAATCTATAATGGTTCCCTATTGCCTACTTTCTACTCCATGGTTTGACCTTCAAGGCTCCATCCTCCTTCTCTACTGTTCTCCAACACATTGCCCTCCCCCTCTCTGTTCTCTAGTTTCCTCTCTGTTCTGTATACATACTAGATTCTTTCTCACCATCGCACCTTTGCCTATGCTGTTCTCATCATCCAGTATGCTGTTTCTTCTCTTTGATGATTTAGTAACAACAACAACAACAATAATAATACACATTTATATAACACTTGCCAAAGTACTTTCTTTACTGCCATATAAAAGAATAAGTTTCCCAATCCCAAAGGCCCATAACTAGCTAGGGGCAGACCCAAGGGTCAAACCCAGGCCTCTTGGCTACATGAGGAATAGTTTCTTAAACATTGGAGGTGTGGGAAGTGGAATGGTGAGATGACCCCTCGGTCAACAGTGGTTGTCAAGTGAAGGCTCGATGACTATTTGTCAGGGATGCTGTAGAAGGTATTTCTGCTCAGGCGTGGGGCGATGTCAATGATCTCTGATGTCGCTTTCAATCGTGAGACCCTATAAACTAGATTGTGCAGTGTACTATGCCGGTAGTATGGGAGAAAGAGAACTGGGCTGGCTGACTGGAGACCTGTATTCTGAGTCTGGCTCTGCCACCAACTGGATGGTCAAGATCAAACCATGTCTCTTCTCTGGGCTTTGGTTTTGTATTAGAGGGTAGATAAATGATTCCCAAGGTCCTTCTCCTAGAGGCAGCAGGGTTACTGGATAGCAAGCCGGACCTGAGTCAGGGGGACCTGGGTTCAAATCCTCTTCCTCCTCTTCTTTTTCCTTCTCTTTTTCTTCTTCTTCCTCCTTCTCTTTTTCCCTCTTTTCCTTTTTTTTCTTCTTCTTCCTCCTCTTCTCTCACCACCACATTTAAGCATTGGCAATTCACTTAGCCCTCTCAGCCTCAGATAACTCTCAAAGACTTGTCTACTACATCATTTACAACTTTCTATAGAGGAAGGATTAATAGAGTTTCCAAAGTCACTCCCAGCTGTGCCTGTAATTCTGATGCCTACCAATTCTTGAGGGCCTCTGTTCCTGCCTGGAATTTTCCTTGACCACTCTGAACCTTATTCATCTATTTCCATGAACTTGAACAACCCTTGAATCTGAGGCCCTCACTTTTTTTTTTCCCTATGTACTTTAGCACAATGCCTGGCATACAGTAAGTGCTCAATAAATGCTTTATCTCTTGCTATTATCACTTACAATCTTCCAGTTCATAGGATCATAGATTTAGAGCTAGAAGGGACCTCAGGCCATCTAGTCCAACCTCCTAATTTTACAAATAAGGAAACTGAGGCTCAGAAAAATTAAGTGAATTTTCTAGGGCTTCACAGCCAGTAGGTGTCAGAAGCAGGATTTGAACCCAGGTTTTCCTGGTCCCTCTAAGTCCAGCATTCTTCCAGGGCCATCTGCAATCATCCTGATCTATATCTGGCTGCTGGACCCAGGTGACTCTGGAGGAGAAAATGAGGTTGGTGACTTTGCACAGCCCTTCCTCACTCAAATCCAATTCACTTGGGGGTCATGGCATCACCTTCTTGATGTCATGATCCTCTTCAGTAATGAAGGACAAACAATAACAACAAATCCAACATTGTATACATTATACCACGGGTGAATATTCTTTCCCCAACAGCACCTCAGGCATCTTCTCCTTTAAGCAGACCTGAGCACACAAGAATGCTTGTTTGCTGAATGGCTAGGAGGGGAAAACTCGGTGTCAGGAACCTTGGGGATGAGAGAGACAGGGCAGTAGAATGGAAAGAATGCTGGCTTTGGAGCTAAGGGGCCGAGGTTGAATCCTTCAGGAGCTCTGTGACTTTGTGCCGATCGATCGCTTCCTGATTCTGAGACTCATCCCAGGAGACCTGGAAAGACTGATTTCTAAGTTGCTTCCAGTTCTAACCTCCCAGGTTCTATGATGAGATGCAGCAGTTCAAGGTTTCCCAAAGACGGTTTCTTTGTTATGTAACCTGCTGGCTGGAACTGCTGTCATTCCCTCTGCTTCCAGAAGCTAGTGGGATGTCGCTGACGGGGCCTGCCTGGAGGGAGCTTAACCCGCGCTCCAGGAACTTGGGGTTTTTAAAAAATATTTTGAAAACTTCATTGAAATAGAATTAGGTTCCTTTGTTACCCCATGTATTTTATTTGATGCATTTGAGAAGGGGTCTATAGGCTTCATCACATATTGGTACAGAGAGTCCGCTACCTTGTCTCTGAAATGATTGCCCGTTTATACTGTATAGAGCTTATACATCATTGTTTGTATGTTGTTTCCCTCGTTAGATTGTGAGCTCCCTGAGAGCAGAGATCCTGTTTTATTTCTCTCTTTGTATTTGCAGCACCAGGCTTATGGCAGGGTACTTGTTAACTGACATGACAGAAAAAAGGTTAAGAACCCCGGACCTAAATTAATTTTTGTAATGCACTTAGCACAGTGCCTGGTACATAGTAAGTGCTTAATAAATGCTTAATTCCTTCCTTCCCTCTTTCCTTCCTTCCTTCCTAAGAGTAACCCAGAATCTCAAACAGCAGGCAAAGACAGTCCCAAGGATGGACAGCGGCCTCTTTGATACTGTGTTGGTCTGTACTGGGAGAATTAGAGGAAGAGAAATGTCCCCTGCCCTTGGGGAACTGCATGAAGAGGAAAGACATGGCCTCCCCAGGAAAGTCAGATGGAATCAATCGGTGAAGGCTTCCTGAGGAATGATATGTGAACAGGGTTCAAAACACATCTCTCCTCAATGAGGGATGGGACTGATGTGAGGTGGGGGAGGGGATGCACCATTTGTCTTCCCCCTTGGCTTTGTGATACTCGATCCCCTCTCTCTCCTTTCTTCCTCCCTTTAACCTGTCTCTTCTTCTCTGGTCTCTGCAGGGCAGGAGAGCTACAGTTTCCCAGAGCCCGAGCCCCACACGGTGCTGTATCACGAGCTGGGCAGCAACTCTGTCGTGGTGGGAGGACGAGGGAAGCTCTATCATTTTGATTTCATCCAGGGGAAAAATGCCTCGTTAAGGACGGTAAAGGCTCTGCTCCCTCCCCCTTGTCCAGGGCAAGTTAGAATGAGCCTTTCTCTTCTTTGACCCCCAATCTCTACCGCCCACTCCCAGACAACCCTGCCATCTTCTCCTCCAGCTTCTGCAGCTCTGAGTGGCCCACTCTGGGCACCTGGAAAGCACAGGCCTCCTGCTGTTCTCACCTCTTCCTTCTCTCTCTCTATTCCACCTCTCCTCCTTATCCTCTTCCCTCTTCTCTCCTCAACCCTTATTCCCCTTCCCTCTTTTCCCTCTGCTCCATCCTTCTTTTCTTTTCCCTTTCTTCCTTCCCACTTCTTTCCTTCTGCTTTCTTCTGTTAGTTCCCTTCCCCTCCTCTTTCTCTTTGTCTCTCACTTTTTTGGGCTTTTTTGTTTCAGCTCACTATCTTCTCATCTCCTTTTTCTTTTTATCCCTGTCTCCCTCCTGTCTTCCCGTTCTTTCTGTCCCCCTTCTCCTTCCTCTCTTCTCTTCCCCCCTCCTTTCCTTTCCTTTCCCTTCTTCCTTTGCTTCTCTTCCTTTCCCTTCCCTTCGCCTCCTATCCCTTTCTTCTCTCCCTGTCCTTTCTTTCCCTTCTCCTCTCCCTACAACCTTTCCTCTCATTCCCTCCTTCCCCTTTCTCCTCTCCCTCTCCTCTCTTTCCTCTCTTTGTCCTTTCCCCTACCTTCTTTCCCCTCTCCTGTCTCCCTACAACCTTTCCTCTCTTTCTAACCTTCCCCTTTCTCCTTCCTCCTTCCTCCTCCAGGAAGGGGAAGATCAGATGAATGTTTCTCATCTGTGCCTCTGCCAAAACCCCTGAAGGTTTCCACAGTTGGTGGGGGAGGGGAGGGTGAAACATCTCACTTCTAAACCCTGGGCCTCTCTGTTCCCTTGGGAGTTGGGAATTGGGTGGGGGTGGAGGTGAGGGTGGGGATGGCTTGGCTTCCCCTCCCTGCTCCATCTGTCATAAATGGTTCTCTGAGAGTAGAGCCCTGAACAATAGGCCAAATGGAGGAGCCTGGGGGTGGAAACTGCCTGATATAATTGCACTTAACAAACATTAGCTAATGAGTCCCACACCTCTTCTGGTGGAAAGAGAGCCTTAATCTTGGCGGCCTGGGACCTGGGTTCCAGTCTCAGTTTAATGAGTGACTCATGGTGACCACCTCTAGGGAGAAATCGCTGAGTGCCTCTGGACCTCAGTTTGCCCCCCTGGAGAATGAGATTGGGCCTCCTTTCCTTCGGAGAAAGAGGGAGATCCCCAGTGTGAAGGAGTGCTTTGAACCAAGGAGCTAAAAATGTTCATGTTAATAGGTCTTCCTGTTTACCAAGGTCCCTCCTTTTCCTCAGTGACCCCAGGGAGGAGAAGGCTCTCTTGTTTCCTCAAGAAACACAGAAAGGAAATTGGGGCTCTGCCCTCTGGGAACTCTGGGGTCTGGGACAGGTGGAGTCTCAGGGTCTACTCTCAGAGCTTTGACGCTAATGGGGAGATTGGCACTGAGAGGCAAGGGGCTTGCTTAGAATCAAAGAGACATTGAAAAGACAGGAAACCCTGTAGTTTGTGGCTACTTCCATTCCCCAGAGATCTCTTTCCACCCCCAGTTAGGTAACTTGTTCAGAAAAGCAAGAGCACCTCTCCGGGTTGGGGTTGAGGGGATGAGAGAGCTGTGTCTGGGATTCAGACCTAAAACTATGGGGCTGTCTGTGCTCTGACCATCAGATAACACTGCCCCTCCTTCTTGATCACTTCAGTATGGGCCAATGTTACCTTTGTTCTCTTTCTCTGACACAGGTGAAATTCGATCCCAATAAATTGTTCTGCCAGAATCAGTTGGTAAGTAAGCCTGGGTCTTATAGGTTATGTGGGTAGAGAGGGGTGGCCCTAGGAGATGAGCCTCAGCAGCTACCTTCCTACTTTTCTCAGCCTACCTGGTTGCTGTTGGGATGGGGAATAGCCTATCCTGTTGCTACTGGAGCAGGGGAGCCCTGTTCTTTGCCCCACCTCTGGGGGTAGGTGTCCTTGGCAAGGAAGGGAGCAAATTGCTGGAGAAATGTGTAGCAGTTGTCAATGTGGAGAACTGTGGGAAAAGAATCCAAGGGCCTTCTTCTATGAGGTATCCTGGATCTTTTCCTAGTGGTAAAAGAGGCCTTGACTCTTGCTCCATGGCCTGGTCCCCTGAGGATGGGGCTAGATAGGTGTCTTAGGATAGGATATGAGATACCTTTTGTTTTTTGCTTTCCATGCCTGGTATAGACAAGGAAGAGTAAACTGTCTGCCTCTTTGTCTTTCTGTCAGCCCTTTGGAGGCGTAATCTTATAGAATCTTATAAGTGGAAAGGGCCAGGGAGCATGAATCTTCATTACAATCTCTCTGACCAGTAGCCATCTAGCCTCTGTTTAGGCACTTCCTGTGACAGAAGAATTGCTGTCCCTAGATCCTACTTTTTGGACCAGCTCTAGTTAAGGAAATGATCCCATTTTGTTCATCACAGAACAACCCTCCACGCAGTGCAGGAACCTCCTCTATGGCAAACCTGCGATCATCCTGCCTTTGTTCCAATACTGCTCTGTTACCCAGGAACTAACTCCCTCTCCCACACAATAGTCCTTTCCATTGTTAGATAGTTCTGACTGTTAGGAAATTCTTATGTTGAATAGAAACGCACTTCCAGCAAATTAGGTCTTCTCTCTGGACTCATGGTTTCGGGCCCCATTGTCTGGGTCCCTTTCCCTTGATTGATGCTTCCCCCTTTGGGGTGCTTACTGTTTTGTGTCAACCTTAAAACTTCCACGCTTGTTTTATCTTTGCTAGGACTGTCAGAACTACATCACCCTTTTGGAGAAGCAGAAAGAAGGCTTGCTTATTTGTGGGACCAACGCTCGCCACCCTAGCTGCTGGAATTTGGTGAGGCCACCCTCCCACCTTCAGCCTGGGGCGGGGGTTGGGCTCTGAGGAAAATTTGGCCCATCCTAGCCAAAGAGGATGCAGGAGAGTGGGGGTCAAGGTCAGGGGAGTGGGGCTTGGCTGTGTTCTGACATCCTTCTGAGGAATGACCAGTCAGCATCATGTCGGGAAACAGAAAGAAGAAAAAGAGTTCCTGTTATATGAGACTTCAGTCTGAAGGGAAAGGGGGGAGAGGACAATTATATGAAACAAATATGAGCACACACTCACGCACACACACACATACCCCAGAGACATGAGAGGACAATTTAATCTAGGCCAAGTGTATTAATAATGAGGGAATATGAAGTGAGCAGGAGTTGGGGGTTTGATGAGTTTTGAGGGAGCAGAGGAGCATGGATTGGCAGAGAGGAGAGTGGAGAAGGGTCTTCAGGTGGGAGGCTCAGGGAAAGGGATGGAGGGCGGGGGACTGAGCAAGAACCCTCATCCTTCATAGACCTGAAGAGCAAAGTGGACTTTGGCAGGTCCAGGCTGACCCTGCCTGTTCTTTCTCTCCCAGAATAACAAGAACCTTACTCTGCTTGGGGAAAGACGGGGCTATGCTCCGTTTAGCCCAGATGAGAACTCCCTGGTCCTGTTCAGTGGTACGTAGCAGTTCTGGGAAGGAGGAGGGGCTGAGGTCCATCTGGAGGGATTTCCAAACTTGTAGGCAAGCTTGCTGATGACACACACACACTTGTCTCTGATACATGTGTGTAAAACTGTGGTATTCGTTGTATCACATATTAGAACAGGAAGGGATCTTGCAATTCTCTGATTCAACTCCCTCATTCGAAAGAGGAAGGAAATTCTCATAGAGAGGCATTGTGTTCTGGTGGGTAGACAGCTGGCCTTGGAGTCAGGAAGATCTGGGTTTGAATCCTGCTTCAGACACTTTCCGGTGGTGTCACCTTGGGCAAGTCAGCGCAGCTTCCTCATTTATGAAATGAAGGGGTTAGACTGGATGGACCTCTAAGGCCCCACCAGCTTGAAATCTTTGAAATACTATGACCCTACAGCCCAGAAAAGGAAAATGATGTGCTTATGCTTATGGCAAGTGAATGGAAAAGTCTCTGATGAAATAGCAAAATAAAACAGAGAGAAAACAGTGGGCCCAGTTCAATTTACAAGAGCCTTCATCAACTGTACAACCAGAACAATGCTTATGGGACCTGATTTGAATTCAGGTGGAGCTTGAATTTGAACCACAGTCCTCTGATTCAGATGCTTATTGAATTGAATTAAAGTACTGTGATGGGTAAGGGAACTGTACTAGTTATTTCTAGTGGTCTTTCTATTACGCCATGTTGCCTTTCTCTGGGAAGGAGGGAAACAAATATTTATTAAGTGCCTACTATGTGCCAGGCACTGTGCTAAGTGCTTTATAAATAGCTCAGTTGATCCTTATGACAATCCCAGGAAACAAATGTCATTTTTAGCCATGTTTTACAGTTAAAAAAACTGAGGCAGAGGTTAAATGACTTGCTTAGGGTCACACAGCAAGTAACTGTCTGGATCTGAATTTGAACTCAGGGCTTCTTGACTCCAGGCCTGGTGATGTATGCACTATGGACCCACCTAGCTGCCCCAAACATTCTATGCATGGAATTGCTTATTGGAAATCTGGGAGAGATTCTTGAGTAATTAGACCATGAACATCCATAAGTTGAAAGGCTAAGGCAATTAATTTTTATTGAGCTATTTTGTTTTTACATGCTTCCACGGAATCATCCCTTATAACAGAGAAGAAAAAAGAGGGGGAAAAAATCTCAGCAAAGTTAACTAGAAAAATATTCAGAAACATCTGATACCATATGTATTATTTCATACCCATAGACCCCCAATTCTGCAAAGAAACAGGGGTATTTGGGAAAGCTCAGTCTTTTGGGTGGGGTGACTGTAGCCAGTGAAAGGTATTGCAAGCCTCAGGAGCCTCTCAGAGTGTGTGGGCTCCTGTAAGGGTAGTGGTGGCTGACGAGGGGCCTTCTCTCTATCCCCTCTGCAGACGACCAGGTCTACTCCACTATCAGAAAGCAAGAATATAACGGCAAGATCCCAAGGTTCCGGCGCATCGGAGGAGAGCGGGAATTGTACACCAGTGACATGGTCATGCAGAGTGAGTCAATCAATTGACCTCCTTGCTGTGGACTTATTACTCACCCTCACACCTCCCCTGTACCCCATCCCACCCCTCTGCCTGCTCTGTGGGGACTGTAGGGTTGGAGTTGATGGGGAGGTTAGGAGGAGAGGACAGGAGGAGGTGAAATGGATTTTTCCCTCTCCTCCTACTCTCAGGGAGTTCACAGACAATTCACACACGTGAAACAGTTAAAGGACAACCCCAAGTGGTCAGTGATTGAGGGGTAGATGGTATGATTCAGACAGTAAGGGCTGCAGGAAGTCAGGGGAAGGAGAGATTATGGAGAGCTGGAGGAGACTCAGAAGTCTTCCTGTTGGACGTGGGATGTGAGCTGGAAAAACAGGGGGGTAGTATTTGGAGAGGCGCAGAGAAGGCTAGGTAGGTAGGAGTGAGCCCCAGGTTAAGGGATGGTGGGCAGACCTGAGATTCAAGTGAAGAGTGCATGTTAGGGAGCGGGGTGAGAGCTGTGCACATGGTTGGGGGTGTTAGGAGCTTGGGGGAAGACTTAGTCAAGGCAAAGTGGTGGGGCAGGGAAGAGAGGGGGTAAGGCTAGGTGAGGGAGGAGAGAAAAAGGACAGCCAAACAGCTAAATTGGACTTTCCACACACCTGTTGGGAAATGAAAGCTGGCCCTGAGGCTGGTGCATTTGTGGAAGAACAAAACAGAAGGCGGGCACTCAGCATGTGTATGTGCCGTCAGCAAGCTGGGGCTCAGTGGTTCTCCTGGGAGCCCCAGGGAGGAGGCAGCCCCAGTGGGGCCAGGAATTCCTCTCTCTGCCCTTGACCTGCCTGCCCTCCTGCCCTGGGGAGGGCTGATCTCATCAGGAGGCCTTCTAGCCTCCCTCCCACCAACTCATTATTGACAACCAAAACATCTGGGGAGCTTCTGGCAGTTCCCAGGGACGTTAGGTCATTGTTTCTCTGCGGATGGTGTGCTCATCAAAGGTTCAAAAACAAATGCTCTTAAAAAAACAAAAAACAAAAAACAAACAAACAAAAAACCCCAAAACAAAAACAAATGCTCTTCTCCTGGGGCCTGGCCTCAGCCCCATCCCCAGTCCAGCCCTGCCCTCTCAGCGCTGGACTATTGCATCTGCCCCCTCAGGTTCTTAGCAGAAGGAATCCAAGGCACCACATATTAACACAAGCGGCTGCCTCTTCTCTACCTCAGCAGAAGACCGATGCCTTTCTTAGCCCTCTCCCTCGATTCTCTCCTCATTCCCTTGATTTTCCCTCTCTTCCTCCATCCCCCGTGCCAGGAAGGGAATGGCCTAGAACTTCCTGCTCTTGGGCATGACTCTGAGAGCACCAGCTAGGGCACTGGCCATATGCATACATGTAACAGATGCCTGCCTGTGTAGGATGGCATGAGGGGCACCAGGAAACCACCCCTCACCCCTTAGGAATATACTGCCCACCACCCTGACGTGGTGTCTCGAGTCCCCTAGTTCATCCCTTTGGGCTCAGCAGTATCATCTCTGTCATGCCAACCCAGGAGGATCTCAATGCAGTCCCGTCCTCAGGGAGGAAGAGGCTTCTTTCTTGGATAGGAGGGATTGGGACAGCAGGAGCATTGGGGAGAAAGACTAGGCAAGGGTGCCGGAACCTTGGTGCTGCGGCTGACTGTGGGTGGGGCTTTTTGTCTGTTCCAGACCCACAGTTCATTAAGGCCACCATCATCAATCAAGACGAGGCCTATGAAGACAAAATCTACTACTTTTTCCGGGAGAACAATCCTGACAAGAGCCCCGAGGCCCCCATGAACGTCTCCAGGGTGGCCCAACTGTGTAAGGTGCAGCCACAGGACTTGCCGGCTTGAGGGGGGGCTTCAGGGAGGGCCAGGCCACCCCCCAGGGGAGGTAGCCATTTCTGCTGGTGCTCTGTGAGAGTCTTTCCGGCCACTGGAGACCGGATCTCATACTGAATCATTGACCCAGTCCCTCCTTCAGTGATACACCCCTGTCCTATACTAAAAGGTAGGGTGGTCCAATGGAAAGGACTTTGGATAAGGTCCTTACTGTGTTCTAGCTTCACACCGTCCCTAATTCACTGAGCAACCTCAGGGAACTTGTTTCCCTTCTCTTTGAGTCTCAGTTTCCCCATCTGTAAAAAAGTACCTTCCCAACTTCATGGGCTATTGTGACCATCAAATGAGGAGATGTCAGTGAAAGCACTTTGGAAAATCTGTCACTTAAGGGTGAGGCATTATTGTATCATTATTATATTTGTGTTGTTGCTATGGAGACAGTATAGTCTAGGGGATAGAGAGCTGACATCAAAGTCAGAGAAAACCAGGGTTCAAGTCTTGGCTCTGACTCACATTGGATGTATGACCCAGGGTAAGTCATTGCCTCTCTGTGGTCTAAGTAACTCTAAAACTCCTGAGTTTCAGAGCAGTGCTGACTTATGTTGGCAGTCTTCCCTATGAAGACTTCTCCCTACCAATGAAATTTTAGGTCAGGCTCAATAAGAAAAAAATTAAATAAAATATTGATGGTCATTTTTATTAATTTTTCAGCAGAGAGATAGGGTGGGAGGAAAAGCCCCCAGTTTTGCTTCTGCTTCATCCCCTATGATGACACCTTATCTACTCCCTTCCCATCTCTGCCCTGGACCCATTTACTTGGCATCATACTTGGAATTTGCTCATTCTGGTGGGCAGGGATTATTTTATTACCTGATGATAGCATGGCAGGGTCCATATTCTTCAGGCAATGCTCAAACCTTAACGTGACATGTCCCAGTAGGGGAAACTTCCAGATAAGTCCTCCATCTTCCTCAGCCTGGGATTGCAGTAGGGTTCTCTGAGGAGTACCACTCCTCAGGAAACTAAGGCCCAGGGGGATTAGGTGACTTGCTCAAGGCCATAGAGGTAGCAAATGTTGGGGATGGTATTTGAACCCAGCTCTTCTGACTCCATAGTCCATTTTCTTTCCACTGCTGGAGCCCCTGTGACTGTCCTCTTGCCTCTTGGTCAGATGGGCTGCTGATCCTTTTTTTGGGTCCCACCTTGTGATAACCCCACATCTTTTCCCTTTTCTCCTGAGCAGGGGGACCGGGGTGGCGTTAGCTCCATGTCTGCCTCCAAGTGGAACACTTTTCTGAAGGCCATGCTGGTGTGCAGCGACCCAGACACCAACAAAAACTTCAACTGGCTACAGGATGTCTTCCTGGTCCCTGATGCCACAGGAGACTGGCGCTCCACAAAGGTCTATGGCGTCTTCTCCAATCCCTGGTGAGCTGGGGAGGACTGTGCTAAGGGTCTGGTTAGTATGGCTGTGACTGTGAGCTAAGCACCAGTTGGGGGTAGAGCAGTGGACCTGTTGTTGAGTTGAGTGTGTGTGGGGGAAATCTGTTAAATTGAGGGGGCTTGGGGAAAGGGATGAGGACTCAGACAGAGAGTAGGAGTCTCATGGAGGGAGTGGGGGGTCTAAAGGAGGGGCTGGGGAGGATGTCAAAGAGGGAGATTTCAAGAAGGAAGGGGATGAATACTTGAGGGATGTTTTCAGTAAGGGGGTTAGGGGGCTCAGTTATAGGAATAGGGGCCCAGAGGGAGAGGATAGGGCCTTTTGGAGAAAAATAGGGTATCAGGTAGGGAGACAGGTCATTTAGGTAGAGAGACAGGGTCCTCACTGAGTGGATGGGGTCCTCAACTCTCCCCTGTCCTACCCCCAGCCTCTGTTTCTTCATCTGTAAAATAAGGAAGTTGGGCTAGATGCCTCCTGAGGTCCCTTTCACCTCTAGAATTGTGGTTCTATGATTCTATGGGGGCTCTGTGAGAGACATAGTTCCCAGTTCTGGATCACCAGCTATGTGCTTCCAAGGAGGTGAGGTGAGGTCATACCACCCCTTCCCGCCACATTGGTCTCTCAAGGGGTGTTATCACACCAGGCTCAATTACTGTGCTCAGCTTTTTAATTTTTGCCTCTTAATCACGCTAATCGATTGAAAACAAGAAGGAGTGTGTATGGGGGAAGGATATAAGGAGACATGGAATCTTTGGTGACAGTTACTTTACTACCTGTGATTAGGTCAGAGTTGGAATGGGGAGGAGAAGGGGAAAATCCAAGCCTGTTACGAAGAGGTTCCATGGGTGCCCAGCTCTAAGGCCCAGGGAGTAGGGCTGGGGGCAGACGCTACCTTCCACTGGGCAGAAGGCACAGAATGAAGGCAGAGATGGTAGTACTCCATGGTCCATGCCTACTGGGGACAGGGCCTGGATACTCATCTGCCAGGGATTCTATGTTGAGGCTAGATCGCAGTATGCTCAAGGTCCTTTCCTTTGACAAGACAAGAAAGGCCTTAGATTATAGTGGGAGGACGCTAGGTTACCCTCGAGCACAGTGACGCCCTGTGGGCTGATATTATTGCTGGTGATAAGTGTGCTACTGAGGCCTCCCCAAAGCTGGGCTAGCTGTCTGGATGTGACCAGAGGCTGGACTCCGTGCCTCCCACAGGAACTACTCGGCCATCTGTGTGTACTCCATTGGTGACATAGACCAAATCTTCCGTACATCTCCTCTCAAAGGCTACAGTGGGATGCTCCCCAACCCACGACCAGGCAAGGTGAGTATCAGTCCTATGGTCCTTCCTCTCCCTCTCCACCCCATCTTCAGATACAGAGATAGAGTGCTGGGCTTGGGATTGAGGGAGGCCTGAATTCTAATCCTGCCTCCAACACTGAACTAGCTATCATTTAACTAATCATTTAACCTCTGTGGGAGGTTAAAATGAGACTGGGGAGATCTATCTCTACCTCCCCACCCTATAGGGTTGTAGCCAGGCTCAGAATGAGCAAACACTAATGCTGATAAAATGTGTTACCTACACTAAGGTATCATTTGTTGTGGTTGCCGTTGTTATCTTATCTTCCCCTCCCCACTAATCTGTGTCCTTTTTCCTTGATCTAGTGCCTTCCTGACCAACAGTTGACACCCACAGAGACATTCCAGGTAGCTGACAGTCACCCTGAGGTGGCTCAGAGGGTAGAGCCCTTTGGGGCCAAGACACCCTTCTTCCATTCTAAATATCACTACAAGAAAGTCCTGGTGCACCAAATGCAGGCCAGGAATGGGTCCACCTTTGACGTTCTCTACCTGGCCACAGGTGAGGATGGTTTTTGGGCAGTTTCTCTGAACGACTGTCTTTGGCCTTATTCACTCTCTGTTTTTTTTTTAAGTCAGTGATCTGGATGAAGGTGTGAATGGAATCAGTGATTTTGGTAAAGGTGTGTGAATGACATTCTTCTCAAATTCAGGTGCCACAAAGTTGGCGGCAACAGCTAACATCTGTATAAATCAGGATCCCCAAATATCTCATTATCCTAAAACACCGAGCTAAAACTAATAGCCCAAAATTGGATAGTGATCAATGTAAAAGCCCTTCCCTTGTGTTCAAAAAAATCAAATGTACAACTGCAGGATGAGGGAGATGTGGTTAGATCAGAGCTTCTGTGAAAATGACTCAGGGGATCTTAGTGGACTGCAAGTCCAGTAAGTCCTCAGTGGATGTGGCAGCCAAAAAAAACTATCACTGAAATAGAAAGCAGATCTAGTGCAAAGAAGATTGGAGTCCTTCTGTACTCTGCTTTGACCTGACCACATTTCAAGTATTGTATTTAATTCTGCATGTCATGTTTTGGGAAAGACATTGACAAAGTAGAACATGTCCAGAGGGCAGTCAGGCTGGTGAGGGGACTGGAAATTATGCCATGTGGGTGCGGGTCAGATGGAAGAACTGGGTCTGGGTGGCCTGGAAAAGAGAAAACTTAGGAGGGACATGAGAACTGTCGTGAAGTATTTGGAAGGCTGTCATATGAAGGAGACTTGTTCTACCTTGCCCTAGAAAAATCATGGTTAAGTAACAGCTGTGCAGAGGCGGATTTAGGTTCAATGTTAGGAAAAACTGCAAATTTGAGTGGAATTCATCCCAAAGTGGAAAGAGGTTAAATGGCCAGTCTCTGGGGAAGCTGTAGAGGGGATTTTTCTACAGGTAAGGGTTGAACTAGGGGCAGCTAGGAGACATAGTGGATAGAGCTTGAATCAGGAAGATTTATCATCATGAGTTCAAATCTGGCCTCAGACACTTTCTAGTTGTGTGGACCTGGGCAAGTCACTTCACCCAGTTTGCCTCAGTTTCCTCATCTGTAAAATGAGCTGGAGAAGGAAATGGCAAACCACTCTAGAATCTTTGCCAAGAAAGCCTCAAATGGAATCACCGAGAGTCAGACATGACTGAAAAATGACTGAAAAACAAAGGTTGAACTAGATGACCTTTGAAGTTCCTTCCCACTCTGAGGTTCTATGATTCTAGAAGCAGGTCCAGAAGGTAGGGTCAGACCAAGCTGATGATTTGCATTGGCTGTCCCCCATGCCTGCAATGCTCTTCCTCTTCACTGCTGTCTCCTGGCTTCTTTCAAGTCCCAGCTAAAAATCTCACCTTTTACAGAAAGCCTTTCCCAGTCTCTTTCAATTTAGCCTTTATGTGGAGTTGTAAGTGTGGGGACCTTTCTTTTTATCCCCAGTGCTCAGCACAGTGCCTGGCACACAGTAGGTGGTTAATAAATGTTTGCTGACTAAGTAGCTTCTTCATCACTGTCATCCTCCTGTTTGAGTGCTTGCTGTGTGCAGGGCTCTTTGCTCGACCTTCTCTATAGAGGAGGCAGGTGAGTGTGAGTGAGTACAACTCCTTCCCTGGAGAGTTTTGAAAGCATGAGAGAGCTTAGGCAGATAGACAGAGTCACCTCTTGTAAAGGATGTGGTGGAGAGGATTTCTGGGCAAATAAAGGTTAGGCTAGTTGATCTCTGAGGTGCCACCCAACTCTGGAGATTCTGTGAGTCTGAAGCTAGGACAACGGACTGAGTGGTCTCTGGACATTCACGAGCTGCCCTAGAAAACCAAGTCTGATGCAAATACAAGCCTCAGAGGTAAAGCCCAGCAGGGGTTGTGGCTGCAGCCCTAGTCAGAGACCCAGTGAAGGCAGAGAGGGTCCTGGGACGGGCACCAACCAGGAGCTTAGCATGGTGCCTGGCACACAGTAGGTACTTCATAGATACATGTTAGCTGATCGCTTCTGTCATGTTTCTATAGAAGGAGGGCCCAGGTCAACTTGGGCTAAACTGGTTCCCCGCTCCAGATGCCAGGGGGTTGGCATGGTGTTTGGGTAGAGTTTGGTTTGGGGGGAGAGACAGCTGTCACTACCTCAGGCACCTGGGACTCCAAGGACTAGGGTGGAGTAGTGCATCTAGCCTTGGCAGTCGTAGGAGATCTGGTCTGCTGCTAGGCCTCTTTCCGTCCCTAGACCTTGAACATGGGCCTGGAGGACTGAACCTTTTTGCCTCTTCCCCAGGGAGCAAGTAACAGTAATCTGAATGCTTGCCATCTGTTTATCTCTTCCTCTGCCAGCCGAAACAGCCTCCTTGTAGTTTCCCTGTGCAGGATATTCCATCTTCTGGCTGTGCCCTTGTCCTGGCTGTTTGTTCCCTACACATGGAATGCTCTTCGTCTGGACTTCTACTTGAAACCCCTGGTTCACTTTAAGTCCCACCCATGGAAGAGACAGCTCCTGATTTCCCCAGTTGTTGTGTTCCTTCCCTAATCAACCAACAATCATCAAGCATTTATTAATGCAGTTAATGAATTCAATGATAAATAACTAAACCAATAAATTTAATCAATGCATCAAACATTTATTAAAATTAATTAAAGAATTACAGCGACCTAGACACTAGGGATATAAGTACAAAGAATCACAAGCTAGTTCTATTTGAATAGGGGAAACAAATGCATATGAAAATAGATGGAGCATAAATATAAGGCTAATATAAAATGATAAAAATGTAATATAATAATACAAAATAAAGCTAATAAAGACATAGACACCATTTGTTTGGCAGAGAGGGCACTAGAAGTAGGGGGGATCAGAAAGGGCTTCAGGCCCAAGATGGTACCTGAGATGTTTCTTTTTTTAATTAATTTTTTTATTAATTAATTAATTAATTAATTTTGATTTATCAACAATCACTTCCATATGCTTTTGAGTTTAAAAATTTTCTCCCCCTTCCTCCCCACCACCCTCCCCAAGATGGCGCATAATCTGATATAGACTATACATATACATTCCTATTAAACATATTTTCACATTGGTGATGTTGTAAGTAAGAATTAGAACCAATAGGAGGAACCACCAGAAAGAGGAAACAAAACTCAACAGAAGAAAAAAAAATAACAAATAGTATGCTTCGATCTGCATTCAAACTCCATAGTTCTTTCTTTGGATGTGGATAGCATTTTCCATCACAAGGCCTCTGGAGATGTCTTAGATCCTTGTATTGCTGGGAAGGGTTAAGTTTATCAATATTAGTCATCGCACAACATGGCTGTTCCTGTGTACAACATTCTCTTGGTTCTGCTCTCTTCACTCAGCATCAGACCATACAAGTCTTTCCAGGTTTTTCTGAAGTCTGCCTGTTCATCATTTCTTATAGCACAATAGTATTCCATTACTTTCATATACCACACCTTGTTCAGCCATTCCCCAACTGATGCTGAGATGTTTCTTAAAGGGAGAGAAGGTGGTGGTAAGGATAGAGTGTAATCCAGGCAAGGCAAAGTGGCCAGTGCAAAGGAATGAGGATGGGTAATGGAGAATTATGAATGGGAGACAGAGAGAAGGACTCTTTGTTTGCATGAGACTAGGGTAGGGAGTAATGTCCAGTGAGGCTGGAAAGGTGGATTGGGGCCAGCTTGTGCAGGGGTTTAAAAGTTAAACAGAAGAATTTATACTTTATCCTAGAGGTAATAGTTGGATAAGCAGGGGAGTATTTGCTTAATTGTGTCTGTGTTGTTTTCCCTGAGTAGAACATAAGCCCCTTGAGGGTAGGGCTTGTTTCATCTTGTCTGGAGGGTATAGCACAGTGCTTGGCACATTAGAGGCATTTAATAAAAGTTCATTGAATTGAACTGAGTTGAATTTAGGAGAAAGAAACCCGTAATTACAGTCTCCTTTCTCTCCCCTCTCCACCTCCTCAGTGCTTACGACAGAGTTTCCCTTAGGTTGATTCAAGGACTTTGGTTATATGTAGGCCTCTGCGGACAGTTTATTTTTATAACAAAACTTATTTTTATAGTACACCAGGATTATTTCAACTGGGACATTGTCTGATTTCCTCCTATTTACAAACCTCAAAGTTCTCTTTTCATAGAGGTCAGGAAACCCAGGACCTACTCATGAAAGCTATTGTTTAGCCTCCTGGAAAACGGGCCTTTGAAGGGAATTGGATTCTTTCTTTGACAAGGCCAGTTCGATGTTACACAAGGAAGGACAACCAGAATAGCCAGGGTCTTTCCTGATTCTGAGCCTGCAGCAGAATTCAAAGAACCTCAAAGGAAACAAGAAGTGGAGACCTTGTAGACGGGCCAGAGGGAGGTCTGTGATGTAGTGGAATGATGACTGGAGTGTGAGTCAGACTCCTGGGTTCCAATCCTGGCTCACTGATCAGCTGTGTGACCTTGGACAAGGTCTTGAAGCTTTGTGGGCCTCAGTTTCTCATCTGAAAAATCGGGGAGCTGAGCCAGAGTGTAAGATCATGGATTTATACATAGACGAGACTTAAGTGAATCTAAGTCAAATGTTCTCATTTTACAAATGATGAAACACATCCAAAGAGATTTATGCACTTGGCCAACGTCACATAGCTAGTATAAGCATTGGAGCTGGGATTCAAACCCGGGTTTTCTGACTCCAAATCCAGCACACTTTACACTGTGAGACAAATTTCTAAAGATCTCTTCCAGATCACTCTAGGATTCTAGGTTTTAATGTTCCCGAATTCTAAGATTCTATGAACTAAAGGGGCCAGGGGCATATGAAAGCCTCACGGCTTTCAGGGGACCTGAGGTTATTTTGTTGGGAGAAAAGGGGACAGAAGTTAGGACCTAGAGTACCCTTGAAGATCTGGGAAGGGAGCGTGTCTAAGTGATGAGAATGATTAAGAGGGACAAGGCGTGAGCCTGCAGCAGCAAGAAGCAGGCCTAGATACCAGAAGGAGACTGTTAGCCACACTATATGGCATTTCAACTCAGATCAGTTCAATTTACAAGCATTTATGGCCCTACTATGGACCAGAGACTGTGCTAGGTGCTAGGGTTATAAGGACATAAAAGAAAATATTCTGGCTCTCAGAGAGCTTTCATTTTATTGGAGGGAAATGGCACAAACACAGAGAAGTGAAAAGAAAAATATGAGGTAAATGGAGCATAATTTGCAGAGGAGGAGAGCAGTGAGGCTGGAGGGGACCCTGCAGCAGCACTGAGCTGATGAGCCTGGAAGGAGTCTAGAAGTTCCCAGAGATAGAGATGGGGAGGGGGAACATTCCAGGCCTGGGGGCAGCTTGTCAAAGATAGGGAGGTGGGGGATATAGCATGGGGGGGAAGAGTAAAGAAGCTCCTTTGGAAGGGCTGTGAAACCCTGACGTGATCAGAGGGAGGCTGTGCGTTTTCCGTAGCTGGTGATTGTTCCCGGTGAGGGAGGCAAACCTTCGTCCGGGGAAGCTTTGAGTGCAGCCAAACCTTTACTCTGTGGGTTACCAAGTTGGGGGCAGAGCTGAGATTTCAACCCACAGCTTCAAATCCCTGTTCCGTAGGGTTTCCTTCCTTCAGACATCACCATTTTATGATTTTGATTCAATTCACCCCAAAACAATTCAATGCAGCAAACATTCATGGTCCCTTTTAACTCGGGAATTCCATCTTTCTAAAAGTGAAAGTGAAGCACCACCTAGTCAAAGCTAAGTCCAGATCCTGGCCCTCCCCTCCCCCCCAACTCCCTCCCTTCTGGGGGCTTAGGACCTTGTTGCTCCCAGCTTCCAGGACTGGCTTCCTTAAGGCGATTTTTCCACTGTGGTCACAATTGCTTGATCTCTGGTCTTCTTCCAGAGTTGTCAGACAAGCCGGTCCTCCTTGCCCCAATTTTTTATCCTACCAGCTAGATCCACGTCTGCACTGTGCTAGCCATATCTTCTGGGTACAATCTTAATGGGAAAATCAGCTTAATTGGGCGTGGAGTTCCTGTGGAGTATGTAATGAGCTTTCCCAGCTCTCTGTGTTCTCTGGGCTGTCCAGAAGCAGCTGACCTCCTCTGGATGACCTCTGGATGGTCCTGAGCTCATGGTGCGGAGGAATGGGCCTGCCAGCCCTCCCCAGCCTGCTTGTTTCTATGACATTCCCCCTCTCCACTCTGACCTCCTTTTTTGAGTTCCAAAGCTTGGTCATTGGGCCGGCACAGATCAATGGAGATCAAATGGAGAAGTTATCAGACTTTCAGAGAGGTTATTTCAGGCTGGGAGAGGGAAAGAGGCCCCGGGGAGAGAATAAGGAACAAGAGGACTGTTTTAGGTGAGGTGGACAGAGAAAGCAGGGCTCTGTTAATAAAGTAGGACAGATGGTCGTGTCTTAGAGGTGGGTGGAGTGTGGGCTGGCCTGGAAGCGGGAGGATGGCCAAGGTGACCCCTAGCAGTTTGTTCTATTCCGACATACTGGGTCATAGAGGATGTAGTGGGCCTGGGTTCTATTTCCGGTTCTGTACTAACACAACCTGACTCTAAACTTCCCTGCCCTCTGAATGGCCCTCTTAGGTGGAGGTCCTGTTGACATTGTCCTGCCCTTCAATCCAGACTTTTCACAGCCCCCCTCCACCGCCAGCAATCCTGTGAGCCCAAGAGCCCGAGCTGGTTACTCTACAGACATAAGGGCTCTTTTCCCTTCGCCTTCCCTTCCCCATTCCTTTTGCTGTTCTTGAGAGAGACTCTCCACCCTGACACCCTCATACACTGCTCCTGACCCATGTTGAGTCATGTAGGGCTAGCCTGGTATAGACCAAATGGTGTCTGGGCCCTGTGGAGGTTCCTCCAGAGTCCCCATGGCACTGGATCTCTTTCCCCTAATGTCTCTCTCTTCTTCTTCTCCTCTTCTCTCTTCTTCTCTTCCTTCCCCTTTCCCTCTGTTTCTTCCCCTCTTCTTCCCTGATTTTTTCCTCTTGGTTCCTGCCCTTTTCCCCTCCCACCCCACTTTCTACAGACAAAGGAACAATCCATAAGGTGGTGGAGTCAGACCATGGCGCCTTTAACATCATGGAAATCCAGCCCTTCCGTCAACGTCCAGCCACCATCCAGTCCATGACCCTGGACAATATTACGGTAAGGCCCTGTGCTAGTGATGTCCTCTCCTGCTCTGGGTCCTGGCTTTGGCTAGGGAACTCCACAACTCTGAGCCCACTGACCTAGCTCATTGACCGTTCCCACCCTCCCCACTCCCCTGGGGCCACTGACCTAAGGAAGTGCCCTAATGGGGTGGTGGAGGCTCATAGCCTGGGCCTTCTTGCTCTTTCAGATGAAACTGTATGTGAACTCTCAGTGGGAGGTGAGTCAGGTGCCCCTGGACCTATGCAGTGAGTACCGAGGCGGCTGCCAAGGTTGCCTGATGGCCCGGGACCCTTACTGCGGCTGGGATGACACTAATGGCCAGTGTGTCTCCATCTACAAGTATAAAGGGTAGGTATGACCCCCAACCCTCCCCCGGGTTTCCAAGGAGCCTCTTGATTGGCTCCATCAGATCTGGCACAAAGATATTCGCTAGTCTCTTACATGTGGACAGACAACTTCTTGACTTTTCCAGGGTTGCCCTGGGAGATGGGCATTCCAGGGATTATGAAAAGTATTTCTTAAAATTAATTTTCATTGCTATCTTTTGTTTTTACATCACCTGCATTTCCTTCTGTATCCTTTCCCCTCCTCCCTTCCAGAGAGCCAACCCAAGTAAAACAGAATTTTTTAAATGATTTTTTTAACTGATATGGAAACAAGCCCATATAACAAAGGATTTTTTAAATGAATCCTTATTTTTTTTTAAACTGATGAGGAACAGAGACATGAAGTAGGATTAAAATGCTTCGAGGCAAGGACTGGGTTTGTTTTCTTTTTGTGTCAGTCTCTAGGACGAAGAAGCAGTGTCATGTACTGGCTTCAGAGTTAGGAAGGCCCTGGGTTTGAGCCCTGCCTCTTGCATATACTGGTTGTGGGACTCTGGGAACATCACTTTATTTCTTTGTGCCTCAGGCTACTTAGTTAGACTGTTGCAGAAAATGTGCTAATCTACAATGGAGGAAGGAGTTTTCTTATTGGAGTTTCTTATAATGTTGGAACCATAAGTCCAGTTCCCTCCTCTCCCCCCACCCAAACCCCGTTACCAAAGAGACATAGCTTAGTGGCTAGAAGACCAGCTTTGGCATCTAAAAGACCTGGGTTCAAATCCTACCTATGAGCTATACTGGGCTGGTCATTAAACATCTTAATGCCCCTTACAATGCTCTGAGACTATCAGAAGCTGGTGCTGTTCTGGCTTCACTATTGGGGTTGGGGGATTAGGGATAGGACAAGGACCCAGAGGAGGGGGGACTGAGGCATTCTGGGAATGCTTGAGAAAGACAGTGGAGGTCCAGGGCCTGGCACAAGAGAAGGAGGGGTTGGGGCTGGGTGCTGGTGGTCTTGGAACAGGCAGGATAAAGAAAGCTAGACCATTGTGGGGGTGTTGGCTGAGCTCTGAGGTTGACTCACTTTCTCTCCCTCACTGCTTGTGTGACCTATTGTACCATCTGATCTTTAGCCCCGTGTTACAGTCTCTGGGTCCCAACGAACCGCATATGGAATGTCCATCATCTAAGTTGGGTAAGTTATACTCTTGAGTTTGGGGGAGAGCCATGATCCTGTCCTTGGGGAGTCCGTGGTCATAGGATGAATGAATGAATGAATGAATGAATGAATGAATGAATGAATAAAAAAGTATTTAAGTGCTTACTGTGTGCCAGGCATTATATTAAATGCTGAGAACAGAGACACAAAAGTGAGACAGTTCTAACCCTTATGGGAACTTATATTCTACTGTAGGGAGACAGCATGTATAGTAGAATGGGGGTGACCAGAGAAGGTCTTTTTGGTCTGGGAAGTCACAGGGAGGATGAATTGATCCACAGACCATCTGGTTGACAAGAAGCAATGGTTGTATTGATTTGTCATTGAACTGACTGCACCACTGCATTTAGAGCTGGAAGAGGCCTCTATATGGCACCTGCCTTCCAGGGTTATTGTGAAGATAAAATGAGATGATTTTTGTTAATCGTTTTACACCTCTTAAATCACCATGTAAATGCTGGTGGTCGTTGTTAGTATTAATTATTATTATTTCCTCTCCAGAGAAGAGCTCCAGTGAGGCCCAGAGTGTCATCCTGGCCCGGAATTCCCGATACTACCTGACCTGCCCTGTGGAATCCCACCATGCCACGTACTCCTGGCACCATGGAGACAAGAAGGTGCACCGCTGCGAGCCTGGCTGGCAGAACTCCGACTGCATCTTGTTCATCGAGAAGCTCACCGACGAGCAGTATGGGCTGTACCGATGCAAGGCCGAGGAGGGCACCTACAGTCGCATTGCCGTTCAGTGGGAGCTCCGCAAGGAAGCCACTGCCGAGCACCTGCTGATGGGCAGCAGCGCGGGGGACCTGGGGGCCTCGCTCTGTCTCCAGCTTCTGTTCCCACTGGCTGTTTTCCTTCTATTTCAATAAGGATTCCTCCACTCTCCACCCCCTTCCCAGCACCTCCTCCTTCTCAGGGTGTGGGACTTGGCGGCTTGCTCCTGCTCCCCCCTGCCACTTCTGAGGAGCCACCCTCTGCCCCTCTCCTCCCCCCCAGGTGCCTCTCACAACTGCTACAGGCCCAAGCCTTGCCTTTACCCCTGGGGGCTAGGACTGGGGGAGCAGAGAGCTTCTCCCCCACTTTCTTCAGGGGAATGAACATTTCTGAGCCATAGGTCTTCTTGGGAGGCATGGGGTGTGGGGGGGGGCGGGGAAGGACTTGGGACATAAGAAGAGGGGTCTACTCTTAGCTGCACATGGATGCTAGGCTTGTGAAGAGTCTTCCCAGGGTGGTGGTGGGGGGGTATGGGGAGGTGAGGAATGCAGGAGATGAGAAAACCGCCAATGAAGGAGCAAGACTGTGAAGGGAATAGGGATTGTACCCCGTACCCAGGCACATTATCCCTTTAAGAATGTTTAAAAGAAAAAAACAACATCCTTAAGCTTATTGCTCAAGGATAGACATCCTCTGGGGGTCACAGGGATGCAAAGTAGGGAAATATCCACCAGAACAGAATGGAGGGGATGTAGGTGAAAGGGCTGGACTGGGGACAGGGGCTGTGGGAGGAAGAAGTATTCTCCTCCAGGCTCCAAAGGGAAGAGTTTGCCAAAGGTGAATCTTATTTGGAAACTATACTGACTCTATGCATTGGGTGTGTATGGGTGAGGGGTGGGAGGGGAATGGACGGAAGGAGAGGGCTGAGCTCTGAATCCCGAGACTCTCCCTCAGTTGGAGCCCTGGCACCCGGGTTTGGCCTACCTCCGTGGTCCTTCTGTGCCCTAGCTGCCAGAGCTGGCCTCTGATCCATCTTGCCCCTGCCCAACTCCATGGGCCGGCCCCTCTCCCCATTGGAGGGCTCTTTACCCAGGGGCCCAGGACAAGCTGGTGCATCCCCAGGGGAGAGTGTGCCATCGAGATGTCCAGGCTGGGTCCCTTCCCCTTTTGGGGGTGAAGGGGAGGGCCCTCTGAAGCTTGCATGTTTATCTAGGGATGTTTCCTTTCCTGTAGGAAAGGACTTTATTTGTACTTGTTTAGCTTATTTTAAAGTTTGACAACTTCCAACTGCATCCAAATGAATCTTAAACAATGAAGGGAAGGGTGGGGGTGGGGGTGGGGATTAGGTGTCCCAGACTAGGGCACCTGGGGTTGGAATCATAATCCAGAGATGGCTTAGTTTAGGGGTATAGGGAGGGAGGGAGAGGGTGGGGACCGAGAAGAGGAGGACTGTCTGCTGATATCTTTTTGTAGACCTTGGGAAGAGTTCCAGGGGCTTGAGTTGTAGCCTGGCCCTTCCTCCATAAGCCTGGAAGAGCAAGGAGTTGGGGTCAGTTTCAGGGCTAGGGAAGGCAGGACAAAGAAGGGTGTTGATCTGATGGGGGAGACAGTCCCCAGTCCCAAGGAACTCCAGGCTTGAGGGGAAAGATCATTCAAACCAGCTCTGGAGTCCCCCTAGAATGGTAGTCATGGGGTAGGTATTCCCCATGACTTGGAAATTGAGGGAATTATTGGGGAAAAAGGTTGGGGATGGGGTGGGTGGGACAAAAATGAGGGAATATATGTATATAATATATATGTATATATATATTATATATAATATAATAGGTCTAAAATTTCATGGTGTTCATTGGGAAGGGGTTTGGTCCTCATGGGTAATGAGGGCCTGGGCCTCTTTTGACCTTTGGAGTTGAGGGTTGGGGATGAGAAGGGGGGGCATCCCATTCTAATCCCCTCTTGTGTGCCCTCCCCAAGGGCTGTGCTTCCATCCGGGTTCATGCCTTCAGCTCAGGTCATATTATAACTTAGGATAAACTGTGAACCCCAGAAGGAGCTGTCCCTGGGGCTGTGAAGGCTAGAGCACCTGCTCCCCAGGGCTGTGGAGCAGGGACTCTCAGGGCCCTTGTTCTGTCATTTCAGTAGCAAGCCCAGGCAACCTTCTTCCTCTGTGGCCCACGGGCCCAGGCCCGGGAATCTGGAAACCTGTGGGTCTGCTATATCTCCTCTTGATGCACTTTAATAATGTAACATATTACTAATAAACAAGCTATTTATTTACCTGTGTCTGGTCATTGACTGGCAGAACACTGTCAATAGAGGCTCGGAGGGGTGGGGGGCTACTTCCAGGTCTGGGGGCTGCTGCCAGGACCAACTCCTAGAGACTTCTTGACCTCAGTTGACTTCCCTTGGCCAAAGGTGAGGAGACGTGAGTTTTAGACCTACCTATGTTCTGGCCTTTGCCGTGATATTGGACAAGCCTCTTTACCTCCTGGGTCTCAATTTTCTCAACTGTCAAATAAGGATGATATTATTTACCCAGCCTATCTACTAGGGATGGTATAAGAATGAAATAAAGGAATGAGTGGACAATTCTCCATTGAGGCAAAAATCTTGGTATTAGTATTAAAAAGAGTTAGGAGGAGGAACAGTGGCCTCTGGGAAATTCTGTGTATTTGAACCATACAATCAAAGGCAAAATAACATACAAATGAGGATTGTGGCAGAAGGTGGGGATTGGGAAGAAGGCCTTTGTTTTTCTCCCTTGTTCTCTTTGCATACGCTACCCCCCGCCCCCACCTCACCCCTTCCACCCCCAACTCATGCCTTGGCTGACTGTCTAAACAAGGAAGCCAGCTACAGAAATATGTTTTATGGATCTGCCAGCTAGGGACAGTCCTCTCTTCTCTCTTCACTTCATATCAACATCCTCACTCAACACACAGTGGCAAGACTTCTAATGTCTGCATCAGGTCCATATGGCATTTTAGAACTCGAGGTCAGACAAAGAGTTGGGAATTGGTCCCATGCTGTTTTATGTCTTCCCCTCACCTCCCATCCATCCTTTCCCTTACGGGAACAAAATAGCAACAAAACAAATTGGGTGGAAATGTAGCAGAAAGGGGTCTCATCCTTTGGTTACTTTCACAGCTCACTGTGGCTGTTTTGCGGTAGTCTCTACTGTTCATCTTTGGGATTGAGCCCCCATCTGATAGTTTGCTGTGTACTAGACCATGCATTGTGAAACAGTGCAAATAATTAAGAGGCTAGTCAAATGGTAAAATGCCTAAATGGGGGGGGGGCAAAATCTATTACTGCTCCAGGGAAGTTAAAATCAATTTCCCCTTTAATCCCTCTGATTCTCCAGCAAAAAGGTGGAAGAGGATATAGTTTTTCTTTAAAATTTGCATGATAAATAATAGTGGGCATTGTCATTTGCCTCTTGTTTTCCAGGTGTTTCTAGTAGTGGACTAGAAAATAATTGAAGCCTCTTGTCTCAGCTCTGGAGTATCATGGGTCAATAATGAATCCGTGTCTTGGGGCATCATGCCATACTGCTCCATATGACCTCTCTACCATAGCTCCACGTCCTAATGCCCCTAAGCATGCTTGGGCTGCTCATTCTATTGTACCCACGCAACGTGGCTAATAGGTCACTTCTCTCCTGCCTTAGGAATCATTCCCCACCGGAGACCTTTCCTGATGCCATCACCACTCATACCCTTTTTGGATCTAGTCCAGGCAGTCTCTCCCAATGAGTGATCTTCTGTTTGCTCCAAGCATTATGGAAAACTGAGATGAATGAAAAGCCCAAGAGACAGGGCTGCTGGGTAATTAATACTCAATTTATTAATTAGGTTAGCAAATAATAAATTGATGATCAATGGTCTCTCTTGGTAGACCAAGAGATGGAGACACTGAATGCTTAAATACCTTTGGAAAAGGAGGTGCCCTTGACAGGAGAAAATCAACCCAGATTGGTGAACAATTAATGAAGGGATGGATATTTTAATGAGGCCAATCTCATCATCACCCTTGTCCTTCAGAGACTGACTGACCTGCAAGGACTGCTCCCTGAATGAGAAAATAGAAAGGAAAAAACCTCAACCCTAATTTGGTTATTAATAAAAATAGAAAAATAATCATTTATCCCAAAATGAAGTCCTAGGAACATGCCCTTTAATCTTCTCACTCATCCAATTGATCAGTTGCCCAGTTCTGTTAATTACATTAAGGCAATGGGGTGCTGAGTCCCAGAGCTGGAAGGCACCATAGAAGCATCTAGTTCAAACTGTCCCTGCACAGGGATCTCTTAGCTTCTCTGATAAGTGCTCCAGTGTCTTCTTGAAAACTTCCAGGAAGAGGGAACTCCTTGCCACTGATTCCACTTTTACTCCATTCTAATCATCCTTATATCATTCAGTAATCTTACACATCCAACAAGTATTGATGCCTCTACCTTGCTCAGAACACTCTGCTTAAGTGCTGTGTCACAGATATGAGGGTGTGTAAGAGACATGGTATGGTCCCTGATTGCAAGAGCTTCTTGTGTCCGATCCCTTCTACTCCTGTGCTCACTGTCCTAGCTCATGAGGAGCCTCATCCCCTTTCACCTAGACTAGTGTGCTGGCCTCCCTGTCTCTGGTCTCTTTCCTTTTCAGTCTATCCTCCTATAGCTGCCAATATCTTTATAATGCACAGGTCTTACCATTCCACTCTGCTACTAGGGAAAAAAAAGTCCTGTGTCTCCCTGTGTAGTTTATTCTAGGCTCCAGGACACCCTTGCCTCATCCATTTTGGCCACCGTGTTTTTGCTCAAACTCTTCCATTTGCCTGGAATACCAAGCTGAAACAAAACCAAGTATTCTGGAATGGTCTTCATTCATATGGAGATAGTGAGAGGTATTACAAGCCTTCCAAGGAGGAATGAGACAGCTGTGTCTTCTCATTCTAGCCCACCTCAAGCCCCCATTGAAAGATATGAATGATAAAAAGGACCCAGTTATCATAGGTTTTATCACCAACAATTCCCAGGACCTCTCTGTCAGTTCATCTCCACCTCAATTTAATTCCACTCAACCAACATTTATTAAGAGCTTAATATTTGCAAGACTCTAGTGATACAAAGATAAAGTCAACACAGGTAATATGTGAGAGATCTGTGATTTCTTCTGAGGAGAACTGGTGTGGGATCTTTCCCTACTGAAGAAGGTCCACAGATCACAACCTATTTGCAGTTAAGTAGATAAATCCAGGGCACCTAAGTGGTACCGTGGATAGAGTGCCCAGCCTGGAGTCAGGAAGACTCATCACCCCGAGTTCAAATCTGACCTCAGACACTTACTAGCTGTGTGACCTTGGGCAAGTCACTTCACCCTGTTTGTCTCAGTCTCCTCATCTGTAAAATGGTCCAGAGAAGGAAATGGCAAAGCATTCCAGTATCTTTGCCAAGAAAACCTGAATGGGGTCATGGAAGAGTCTGAAACCTGAATAACAACAGATAAATCCTTGGGCATTGCCTGAGGCCCATAGAGATTAAGAGACTTGCTCAGAGTCATTTAGCTAGTGTCAGAGGCTGAATGTGAACCCAGTTCTTTATGACTCCAAACCCAGAATGCTATTTACCTCATCATACTGCCTCTAATAGTGGACATTTTCATTAGGTTTTAAGGTTTTCAGAGCACTTTACATTATATTATCTCATTTCAGTATCATGGAAACCTGTGAAGGAGGTACTATAGGTCAGAGACATAACTAGGGCAAGGCATTAGGTACTTTGCCCCAGGGTGCTGACATGGGAGAGGGGTGCTTCCTCATTATTGTTATTCTACCCAGAAAGGAGGGCAAGGGAAGGGCAGGACATGTTAGGTTCTGGATGGGATGGACCCAGGAAAAGGAATAGTCAGGGTATGGTGAGGTAGTAATCTTCCAAACTGGGTATGGCCCCAGGCAGATGTGTTGCGGTTCCCAGGAAGCCTGGGCACAAGCAGCAGCCTGGGAACCAGTTCCCTGAGTACCATCCATCTACCTGCTGAGATGAGCTGGGGATGTAGAGCTGAGGATGCTCCTAGAAGGGAATATTCTTCTTCCTTCCACATCCCACCTGAGAAAGGGTCAGCATGGCTACAGAAAATCAGTGAGCTGCCCAGAGAGAGAGGGCACTTGAGGTTCATAGACTTCCTGGGTTCAGGAGCTTGGATGTGCGACTCAACCAAACAATTAAAAAGTATTTATTAAGCTGCTACTGTGTCTCAAATACAGTTAGGCACTGAGGGGAAAAAGAAACAAAGAAGGAAACAATCTTTACCCAGGATATAGTTTTTTCC